AAAACTAACACGTTGATGTAATAATATCTTCAATGGGGATTTGTCAGTGTGTATTTAAATGCAGCCTATCCTGATTAACATTAACTAACAACTAATTGGGTCTTTGTCGCTTTTTCAGTTTACGAATGTCAGCGGAAGACTGTTTAAAACACGTGTGGTTATTGCGACGATCTTCGCCAAATTCTTCGTATATGGAAGTAGCAAAAGACAACTTAAAGCAGTTTGTTGAACGTTGGAATGAACATCCCAATTCCCCTTACGTCTTTGAATCCTCTTCACATATCATAGCACCTTGCCACTACAAACTACAATTATCTGAGTCGCTGCACTCATTAGAAGGAATGTCTCCATCTCCTTGCGGCTCTCTCGGATCATCGGTAGGGTCCGACGATGGATTTCCACACAATTTGACTATAAATAATGACGACTTATTAGCAATACCGCAAACGGACTATTTTAGAAGGGCTTCGGATAGTACTGGAATCGTGAAGGGGAATGATATTACTGAACGTTTAAATTTGGCAGACGAAATCCGTAAGCTGACTGATAAGTTGTTTCAGCTATCAACCATGCCAGAATTTAATAGTGATCGTGAGATCAAATCTACGACTGTATCGTCAACAAAGGTCAGTGGTAAATACGAAGTGGAATCGGATCGGAAGATGCACGCAACCATTCCCAGTCCGGCCATAGCGATAAATTCCCCAAATCTCTCACAAAAAACCCACAATACGAAAGGCGAGTTTCCTTGGAGAAGGCCGAAATTTCGCGTATCAACAAGCAGTAGAGATGTACCTTTATATCAAACAAATCAAACAAGCTCCTTTAAAAGTAGCTTCGACTCAGACTTTTCTTGCTTCATGAGTACTAAGTCGTCTCTTTCTGATGAAAGTTCGAATTCCATTGAAACTACCGTTAATGGTACCAAAGACATGCTTTTAAAATTGTTGGAGCAATGGGACGGACCACAGGTACCTTCTCGACCAATTCCTCGGCACGGTTCCGTTTCCAACGAATGGAGCGAAAACGATAATCTAGGACAAAAGACTATTAGTTCCCTAAATATGTTTTTTCAATCACGTTCCATAAATAAAAATACTCACCCATTTATGAAACCTAATGGTTTTAAGTAACGCATTTATTACTTGAATCTTTCACGTATACTATCCATATTATACTTACTGTCTATTTATCATTTTTGCATTTTTATGGCTGTTTGTTTTTTGTTGCTAATAAAATAATATAGGGACCATTCTTTATATTCCTTTTTTCTTTTAAACCTCTTGCGTAAATTGTGTAGAGAATAAGATTAATATATTTTCTTAGCTATTTTTAAGTCATAATGTATTTATTTTAACAATTTTAGCTCTAGAATGACCGCGTTACAATGCTTGGAGCAAAAATGGTTACACAGTTCAACTGAACAGTCAGAAATGGTGTTGAGTACAAAGAAATTAAAACGATATGTAATTAAAAAACGATGGATAAAAGTTGTAAATACAATAATTGCTCTTCAAAGAATGGGAGCAAAGATAGATGCAGACCTTGTATGAAAGTTGTGTATTTACACTACGGTCTACGAGTATAGCATAGCTTTATTTGTTTAAATACAGCCTAAGTGTTTTTGTTTATAATAAGCTACTACGGATATTGATCAAATGTCTTAACGTTTTCGCTCAATCAATTAATCAATAGGTATGTATCATATGAAGAGTATACAATTATACATAAGTAGATATACCAAAATGTTGTGTTACGTTAATGTAACTTATTGTATTATAACTATGATTATTGTATTGTCTGTGATCTTATATAAATTATTATGGCATATGTGGCTTTTGTCCAAGCGATTTTTTCTTATTCATTCATATTGCCAACGGAAGGTTTAATAATACCTATTTACAAAAATTTTAGACAAAAAGTCAAATACCCATGTTGATGCTTAGGTATGTGGACACAATATAATATTAATGTTGTATCCGATTTCTTCACTTCAAAAGACTAACGAAACCATTTTCGATGATCCAGTACGGAAGCTATTGTTTCTCGACACCTGTTTGTTTCATTGTTTTTGATTCTTCACCGCGATTTTGCAATCAAGTATCTACTTACACCACGAACAACTGTTAGTTTTCCTAATATCCGCATAGATTCCAGTTCAAGTAAAGAAGGTCTACATGACTGAGAATGTTGTATATTTTTAATGGTTTTTTTGTCCATTATATGCAAAATTAAATGTAGAATAAATTTTCTTCTACAGCACTTTGCCATATTTCTATCAGGTGATCGAAATATTCGCTGTGACAGTTAAAACAAACAAACTGTATTTTCTGGTACTCTTCCCACTATACCTCATAACATAATCAAATTCGTGCTAGCATTATATTCGTTTATAAATACAATGGTGCTAATCAGAAAATCGCGGTGGAAGTGTAGTGTACGATTGAAAAAAACTGACTGGAACTGCTGTGGCTGTTGAAAATACACAAATGAAAACAAAAATAGGTACCAATAAACGACAATAATATTAATATATTTAACAGTTGAACGCTGATGATGACAACTTTGTAATGGTGGCTCTGAGACTTTTGATCATTCCATATAGTCTATTCAAAATTGCAATACCTATGGCATTTTTTGTTAGGGAGGAGTATTAGTCTACGATTTTTCCGGTTGTTATGACTCAAAAAAATTATTAAAATTATAGTAGGAGCATAAATTAGAGAACATGCATTTCCTATATTTCGCAATTTAAAAGAGAACACTTAAGAGGTAGTGCGAAAGTATATTCGAGTAGGTTTAAATCTCTAAACCGTGTAGGAATGTAACATATAAAAGACACTTTATATATTGTGCACCAAAACTTTACAACTTACTACCAGTTCAATTGCCCTCTTCCAAAACACTCACCTAAAAAAAATAAAATCATGGCTTTTCACCCTGGAACATATTGAAAATAAAACAATTTTTTGTTTGTTAAACTGACCCCCCATTTTTTACGGAAATGCAGGTTTTGAAACACCAGGAATTCGAATCAAACGAAATGTCGTTGATGTCGGTCCGTCTGTACTCTCATTTCCGACTAAACGGCCGAGTCGATTGGAACCAAATTTGGTGCACAATATTCGTAGACATAAAAGGAAAGGCGGTGGTATTGGATTGGGGGTAAAAAATGCCCCTCCCCCCCCTTTTGTTTGAGGAAAATACACGTTTTGAAGCACCAGGAATCCTACTCAAGACAAATTTTCGATGATTTCCAACCCCTATTTCTATCGCAATGACTGAACCGATTGGAACCAAATTTGGTACACATGATCTTGGACACAAAAGGACATCGGGCATGCGCAGGTGGTGTCTGTGCTAGTCCCGGTAAATTTTGTGTGTTTTGAAAATATAAATCTTCCTAAACTCAGACGGATGGACAGCCAAAACCAAAACATTAAACTGATATTTGTCATTACAATTTCTAAAACGTGGTCATAAAAATTTATAAAGTTCACTTCGTAGAGCAGTGAATAACGAGCGTGGCCGTTTTTCGAACAAAATCTAAAATTAATTACGATTTTGGTAATCACCATTCACACAAGATATATATTTGGTAATGTGTAACAAAAACAACTGAATATATAATATAGCATATCTACAAAATACATATAATTACAATACATAGGTAGGTAAAATAAGGCACATAAAGCTTCTAGGGGGCAGGAACATCAAACATAGCTCTCATTTTGAGCCGAATAGGCTAAAAATGAGTCTAATAGCCTCGGTTCAACTAACTCTTGAACGTCAATAGAATCTATAACACCATTTCCGCACGCTTCAGCAGTTTTGCGAAGAGTTGCCTATAAAAATTGCTATTAATTAACTGCATTGCCAATTTTACTTTATGCATACCAATGCTGCTACTAAAACTGCATCGCTGTCATGTCTTTCTTTCCGTTCTCGGCAAAGTGCCACTAAAGCTTTAATTCCTTTACATTTTACGATTTGGTCCGCAGCTTCTACACAGCTACTCAATCGCGATAACGCAATAATGGATTTTTGCTGCAAACGGATTTCTACATCCTTGTCGGTGTGATTGTATTGCAGCAAATGTAGCAATACTGCCACCGCTTGCTCTTCAATCAAAGCACCCCTTGCAATTTGTTTTCCTGATAAATTCGCAAGAAGATTTGCAACTTGCTCCAAGACATACACCGAAATTAGGCTTCCTCGTGCTTTCACAGACCGTAAAATAATTCCAATACTATTCTGGTGTAAGATATACTTTACTGTCGTCGGTTCCATCTCTGTTAGATTTGATAATGCGGCTATGCACAATAGTAAATTTTGACAACACTTCGTGCTGGCAACAAAATTAGTTAACGATTTAACTAAAGTTTGGATCTGTTGTTGTAACCCGTAGACGTTTCGATTATCTTCAATCCACGGTGCGGTAATTTGTGCCAAAAGAGCCACCGCTTCCGATCTTTCAGGATCAGGACAGGATCCGTTCGAGATGATCTCGCTAATTAAATTAATTCCCGAATTATTCTCGAATTTTCTTATCGCCGTATTATTTACGCAGATCGTCGATAGAGCGCGGAGAATTAATGAGCGCACAGTTGAACTTTCGCATTTTTCGCATAAAACGCATAGTACCTGCACGCAATTGTTAGAAATTAAAATGTTAACAATTTCTTTATTTCTCAACGCAATGGACGTCAATCCAATTACTGTTGCGCGCACATGAAGCTCGGAATGGGGATCTTCTAATTCGGCTACTAATTTTTTTAATTCGTCATTCAAAATCTGTTCTTGGAGTGCTTCCCACTTTAGACTAAGTTGAATAATTAGTCTTGATATATCGTATAAATTCGTACATCTTATATTATCGCATATGTCCAAAACATCCGACGGGTCGCATGTGCTGTTAAAATTCGCCACGAATTCTTCAACTAATCTTGCGACGCTTTGAGCCAACGCTCCAGTGTGATGCTTTTGGCTGTAACAAAGAACAAGCTATAACAGTAGTCGTAAACCACACTCTCGGGTCTCGTTATGGGGCGAATCTTCTGAAGACGAATTCTCCGCGGGCGACTTTTCGGGGCCGAGTTTTCAGCACAAGCTATGTAGTCACCGCCATACATGATATATCTACATCCCCATAAAGAATAGGCCTTAACCAAATAAAAAATAAAAACCTTATTTATCGCCACCCTTTGAATTTCAAGAATCTGTTCATGCATATATCGCGTATCACGTATGTACCTATCGCCTGCGATATATCGCTTATCGTATTTACTTATCGCCTCAGTAGGTATGATCCACGCCTAACATAGAAATGGCAAGAAAAATTGTTGAACGTTACAAATGTTGCTAACGTGTAAAACAAAATCTTTCATTTCGTTAAATGTAGAAAAACCGAGAGAAAAACGCAACTTTGTATACATGGTAAGTCTTGAGATCTCGATCAAAAGATAACTTTTTGGGCATTGCAAGGTGTTCAATGTGCGAAAACGTACTTGGAGCAAAGCTAACAGAAGTTGGTACCCTATTGATCTTCGATTTAATAAAGTAGGTAGGTAATACTGTTGTGCATTTTCGATCCCATTTTGGTCGGATCTCTTGCTGACTTTTGGACAAACTGATGTGCCAAGATGCAAGTACGACACCTTCCACAAAATATGGCACATCGATATTGACCGTTACAAAAGCTGCTTTTCCTAGGCACAAACGCCTTAGAATTATAGGTACTAAATTACGATTATGGGATGAGGAAAGGACATGAAAATGCACCAACAAGGTAGATATGTAAATGCGATGAAGAAAAGCGGAAGTGTCACTTACGTTTTAATATTATTAAACTCTGATAGTATCGTTTCGGAATCAGACAATACTTTTCGTAAACGAGAAGTCAAACTTGTAGCCAATAGGGCGACCTTTTGATTTAATTCGGCGGCGATTGACTTGCATTGGAGGGTAGCTGTACATTCCGTTTCATACAGATATTTGGTTTCTTGAAGCCATTTTCGCACAGGCGGGGCTTCCGGAGTTAGCCTAAACAAACTGAGATAAATAACACACGCCAAGATAGACAGAGACATATTTACCTTTTATTCGTTTGTAAAACTGCCATTTTCGAAATTCGTTTATTTCTCAGTTGTCTCATGTTTCGAAAACTTCTATTAGAAACTTTAGGCGTCGAAGTGTTTGTGGGACAGTTTAAAAGGCTATGGAAAGCCGATTCAAATTCACTATCACTACTTTGCAGGGAATCGTGTGAAGATAAACTGATATTCTTACAGTCATCGTCTGTGGGTGGTAAAATCGCAGGTGCTGATTTATTTCTCTGTATTAAAAACGATAAACTATCGTTTAAAAACGGATATGTTTTAACGCCTTCGAATGACTCGACACTGTTTTCGTTTGATTTCCATATGTGACTATCATCGAATGTGACCTTACTGGTAGTATTCGAGTGTTGTAATTCAACGTCGTCATTTATTCCTTCTGCATACTGATAAGGATAACGTACAGAGGTATCGTCTTTTAATGTATTTTTAAACAAACTTCTGCTAACTTTTAAAGAACCGTTCCTATAAAACCTCTGCTTCTTTACCGGTTCGGACTGAACCGTCCTCGTCGGTTCTTTAAAATCACGCGGTGGTGTCCGCAAATTTGAAACGGATAAATGTTTTAAATTTTTCTTCGGCGAAAACTTCTGTTTAATGTTGCTAAACAAGTTTTGAGATTTCAGGTCTTCTTCGGAAATATTTTTTAGGATTTCTTTGGGGAAATTCTGCAGATTTGCGTTTGGTGATTGTTTCTGGTAGTCCGCATGGGGGGGTAAATTTTCGGCGTCTGAAAAACCGGAATCTTGACTGCCAGGACTGGACATTCTTGGCCAACTATCGTAGTCGTCTTGCCACCATACTTTACTCGGACTTCTTTGAAATTCTCCCATTTCTGTAAGACGAAAACTCGCTTTAATAGTGAGGAAAACAATTCAATTAACAGAAAACAAAAATATTTTAAAGATTGTGCTGTATCAGCTCCCCACACGCTTGCGTTCAAAAAACAAGTTTGGTCTTGGACACTAATAACAAGTTGGAAAGTAGGTACTCGATGCGCGTCGAGCTATGCCCGCTTTTGTACGACGGACGGATCGAGGTTTTATTAGCGGTGAAATATTTGCATGCAAAGAATTGACACACAAAGCTAATGCATCAAACCCAGAATTTTACGATGATTCCTTCGAGAGTTATACTTAAAAAACCTTTGCAGCCGACTGCCCAACTGGACACGGTCAACTCGCCAAGGGCCACTCGCCACCGGACCACTCGCCACCGACCGACTAGCCAATGGGACAACTCGCCACTGCGACAACTCGCCAACGAAATATTTTTCTCTGTTTAATGTGTCATACAAATGCATCCCACAAATGCAATAGTCAATTTCCCTAATTTTGTAAAAAAAGTTTATTGAAAAATTGTAGTCAATATTTGAATGAAGACCCAACCGCCGATACCTGTTTCTATTACTGCATTTTGATATAACGACATCTTCTGCAAATTATTATTTGAACAGAAAATTTGACAATCACATTAAACAGGGAAAAATATTTCGTTGGCGAGTTAGCGCAGTGGCGAGTAGTCCGTGGGCGAGTTGTCGCATTGGCGAGTTGTCGCGGTGGCGAGTTGTCCCGTTGGCGAGTTGTCGCGTTGGCGAGTTGTCCCATTGGCTAGTCGGTCGGTGGCGAGTCGCCCTTGGCGAGTTGACGCGTACCGCCGCCCAACTGACCGACCGACTGAACAGCCAAAGTGAATATAGAAGCTCTACTTTTAGGTAGATTTTATCTACCTATTGTAATGGTACAAGTATATATATATATATAGGTTTGTAGGCTTGTAGGTTTATATACAGGGTGACAATTTGAAAACTTACCACCCCCCATATCTTAGTAAATAAACGAGATATTTAAAAAAATCAAAATCCGTTTCGGTAATTCGGAGGGGGAATCACAATGACATAGTTGGCGACGCACCCCCTCCAACCCCCTGCGCCCCAGCCACCCCAACTTTTAAATCTTAAATAGTGACCCCCCATGTGTGATACGTTGTTGGAAAGCTCTGAAAAAATGCTTTCCAACCATACCAAATAGCATTACATTTAGGTTAGTAATTATCGTGCAAATCAAAAAATTGTTTCAAATTGTCACCCTGTATGTATATGTTTATATATGTCACTTCCAAGAAACGTTCTAACGTTCGTAATTTGAACCTATTTCGACCAAACTTTAATGGTTCGTGTAGCTCATAAATAGCTCTGCTCGTATCTCTGTCAAGTTCGTGAATCAGCAAATTCCGCCATATTAGATCAAAATGGCTGAAATAAATCTACCTACACCTGATCGGCCCAGCCGAAAAAGATTTTTGTGAAAAAACGCGCTAAAAACTACGTCTCTCTTTAGTCTCCTTACTTCAAGTAAATTTGGACCGAAGTTGTTTGTACTTTTACTGGAAAACCTGCGTCACTACCACTCGGTGCTACAGAAGAGAAAAAAAAAGGATACATAAAAGATAGTGACAAAGTCTTTCAGGTAAATAGTTATGCAAAATCTATAATTTAAAGTGCAGTAAAGTAACTGACAAAGTATACCTAAGAAAAAAATTTCCAGATTTGTACCAAATTTGAAGTAAGGAAGAGGACGTATTATCTCTCGCTGTCAGGCTGAAAAATGAAGGAAAGTACACAAAGAGGGAGCTTTATTTGTAAAAAATGAAAAACCAAAGACGCTAAAGGGTCACACAGGTCAAAGATGAATAACGTATTGAATTATGATAAGAATGAGTATGGGGTTATTTCAAGCAAAAATGAAATGCTATTGAAAGATCTCTGACTTCCCGAAAGTAACGTCCTAGAAGCAAGTTTAGCCCTGTGTGCGGGTATGCCATCAGTGCCTATTTTTGAAATAGAGTTGTTCAGAATGGGGGATTGATATCAATGAAACCGAGAAGCATGTAAGTAACTGTCGGAGTCTGTTTGTCGAGTTTCAAGAGTTCCAAACTCCATGGACCATGTGTTATCAAAGCCGCTGGAAAAAATTTGTCAAAGCCGTCGAGAAAGGAGATTTCATACTTCACAAAGGAAAACGCACTGAGGATTACCCTGAACAATGCGTGATTTCGACAAATTTATGTTTTCTTTTAGCTGCTCAAGAGAGAAATGAAAATAGCCATTCAACAACGACCGAATGTTGGTTGAAATTCAATGGAAAGACGGTGCTACATGGAAGTTGCAAACAAAGTAGTAGGTACTCTTTACAAGTCGACTTAGCCTTGTTAAACATGCGTATTCCTTGCCACAGTACCTCTCTGGAAATGTTTCCAGTTAGTTATGACCGTGCCAAACTGAGTACATACCTAGATCGTGTGTGGATTGGTCCGAAAGTATGGACGCTTATAGCTAACATCAGACAAATCGACAAACATTGCGTTTCATATACATAGTATTTAAAAAAAGTTGGTAGACAGGATCAAAACAAGCACTTTTTCTAAATAAACCGAGGGTTCAACGTGGTTCGTTTGGAAACCACCCAGAAAAAGTGGTAAAATTTGCATCACTTTAAATTTTTTCTCAGCAACCATAAGAGTTACAAACACTGGTGGCACATTCTTTGAATAGGTTTTGAGGTATACCCTTTCCGATTTTGCTGAAATTTTCAAAATTACTACTACGGAACGGCGCACCCTTAAATGGAGATGCCAACAATTCTGATTTCGACAAAATTTGGTATACCTATGGCATGTTTGAATCTGAAATTAGTTTTTGAAAATTCGAAAAAAAAAATTCTACTACTATTCTTGGCGGGACAACGAAAATGGAGAAAATTCCACAAACTTGTTGTGTACATACTTCATGAGTTAAGGAACAAAATTTACGAACAGTTTTTAAACACTATTCAAACGGGGATACTTATACCACAGATCTACACATACACAGATTGCTAACCTTATGCATTTTTTGGGAAACAAATTTAGGTATACTTAAAAGCGCCCTCTATTGCGGAGCAGTATAAACATGTACCGTTTAAAACTGTAATATGACGCTTATGGATGTATGCATTAGATGTCGCTGCAAAAAATTGAAGCGGTAAAGTGTGCATAATTCGAATTCGTTAATCGTTATTTTTAGCATTTCGTTTATAAGTTTCTGCATCTATCTATATTGACGATTGTTGTATCGTACATATTGGAATAGTCTTTGAGATAGGTAAGTACGTATAGTAACATTTTTGAATTAAATTGTCTGATAAGCTCATCTACTCATTCTCATTAATCAAAGAGTACCGCATCGCGGATATGTGTTGTGGAATATTTACCCAACCGCAGCGCGTGCGACTTAATGGTCAGGTACTATTTAAAGCTAAACCTGCCGCCCCGCCAAGCGATTGTGCAAATATTTCTTCCAACTATAAACGGTTTTTCCGTTCACCATTTCCCTCTTGTCACTTCACTAAGCTGCATTATCTGCCTAGGCACGTGCAGGCAATGTAATTTGATCTCCAAAGACTTTTGATGTGGAAATATTAAAGCGCCTATACATGTTTCTTAAGTAATATTAATTTTTAGATTCTTGTTACCATGCCTGCGAGAAGAGGTGCAAAGCGCTCCTACTTTGAGTGCCCTTCTACTTGGAAGATTTCCCCAAAAATGAATCTATCATACGAGAATAGCGGGAATAGTATGCTGTTTGCTCTTCAACATGAAGAATTAAGAAATAAATTTGTATGCGAAAAACATTTTCATCATGGGGATTTATCAAATAGCACCCTCCACAGAACCAGGTTGAATCCAAATGTAATTCCTGTGGCGCACAATAGAGAAGATCTTATTGTTAACTTTCCCGCCCAATCGTACAAACTAGCTGCTTCTTCGAGCATAAACAAACGCCATAAACCAAAACCTCTCCAAACATCGTGTTCATCAACGTCCTCGTCGGTAAAGCACAATTTGGATATCATATATACCTTTACGGTTAGGAATCTGTCAAGACTTTTAAAGCCGCAAATAGTTTCCGCCAACTTCAAAAAACCTTCACGATTCCTTAAGAACCTGCCCTATGTTACCTCCTATCATATCATATCACTGTAATAATATGAATATTAAGGAATTCGGATTGTGCAAACTTTGGCGCTTTAATTTTGTTTCAACGACATCTAACGCATAAATCCATAAGCGTCATATTACAGTTTTAAACGTTACATGTTTATACTGCTCCACAAATAGAGGACGCTTTTAAGTATACCTAAATTTGTTTCCCAAAAAATGCATAAGGTTAGCAATCTGTGTATGTGTAGATCTGTGCTTATACTGATCCAAAGGACCAATTGTCAAACGAGTTCGACAATTTTGTTCCTTAACTCAAGTATCTACACATCAAATTTCATGGAATTCTCTCCATTTTCGTTGTCCGGTCAAGAATTAAGTAGAATTATTTAGGTAGATTTACTTGAAGACGAATTAGAGGTAAACTACTGATTAATTGCATTAGCGTCTGTCAAATGTAACTCATACTTGCTGAGACAAAATTAAAGAATAAATGCAAATAGCAAATGTCTTTCTTTGAGCGGGCTCTCAAATGAAACACGTTGGACCCTCGGTTTATTTGGAAAAAGTGCATGTTTGGATCCCCTCCACCACACACGACAAATCGGTACTAACTAATAATCTTCGTACTAATCTCAAATTAGCTAAAGGAACCTAAGGAACTTATTAAATCAAAAATTTGCGAATGTGAGGTGATAGGTGATGGCGGTACCTAAACCGGTCTGTTTAAAATATCAATTCAGCTACAAAGATCAGACCGAAACTTACGTTCGGTCATGAAAATTATTTAAATCAATGCTAGAAGTTTAGTGTTCTCAGAAGCGTTGGTCCAAATTTTAAAAAGGTTTAAAAGAACAG